CAGCGCGAGAGATCACACAGTGTGGCGAGCGCCACAGGCGGGCAAGAAGCGCGGCCTCACCTGAGAGAATCTCCGCTGGGAGCGGCATGAACTGGGCGACGTACGTCAGGACACTGGTGACCCTTGTCGAGTAGAGCTGAGCCGTCACACGATGTGGCCCTTGTTGTTGTGCCAGGATCAAGCCACGGTCTCTCCATTTCTGGATTGGTGCGCGCCAACTATGAAGATGCACTGCGGGTCCGAGATAAAGACCAAGATATAGAAGTTCTGGAACAATCTTGAAAGAGGACCATGTCGGGATATGGTCGGCGATCCATCGTGCGTATCGGTCGTGAGTCACATCTGAGAATGAGCCGCATAACGGAACAATCTTGCACTTTGTCGGCTTGAACACAAGGGCAGCCACACGAGCGGCAACCCGAAAGATACGGAAAAAGATCTTGAGCACCCTGATGGTCCTGATGGCAGCACCGACGTCGTCGGCGCAAGCACGAACCAGCCCGAGGGCACGACGATTGATACTCCAGTCGAAATCAAGCATGAACGGGTCCGCGGCCACTGCGAACAAGAAGCCCGAGCCAGGGCAACCTTGCACTATGCCGCTCTGGATGTAGTAGAGCAGCGCAGCGTTTCCATAGACAGAGTTGTTGATAGACGAGGAACACGCATTGGCCGACCAGCATTGGACGCAGCGGTACAGCTCGGCGAAGAACCAACGTAGCGCCTCGGGCAAGCCCGCGCGACGGAGAACCAAGAAGAGCCATTGATGGGCCACACTTGGGAAGGCCTGCTGAAAATCGAAACTGACGAGCAGAGGCATGGCTACGGAGACGTCGTCCTGCTGGGAGTATTCCCTCGAGGCCCCATCGAGCTCCACAATGTTGTTCCCAAAGTTCCTGGACGGCACGAACCCCCTCTGATTTTTGCACACCACCTCTGGGAGAGCACGAGATAGCCGGCGTACGATCGTCCCCGCGATGATTTTGACGTCCGTGTTTTCGAGGCCAAGGGGGCGCAAGTTGCTGGGGGCCCGCACACAGCCTCTGAGAGTGTCCTCGGTCTCGGAGCCTTTGGGGATGAAGACGCCTATCATGTCGTTGAAACCTACCATCATAGCATTTCCACCCAGAATCCACCACATGACCGACAGTAGGACCGATGAGGAGAAAGAGGATCGTTGGTACGCGGCGTATGGGAGACCGTCGGGGCCAGGGGCTGAGTGAGACAGCCTCTGCATGTAAGACTCCATCTGGGGCTTCGTGGGCGGGGCGATGTTAGCGAAATCGATCTTGGGGCAGAATCTATTCAAATACATGTTGGCGGCAGCCTCGTCGATATTTTTGTGTTGGAAGACGGGGCCCCAGTGCGTGGCAATCTCGTGGTGCATTTCCTCGGATGACGAGACAATCGGGCCATTTTGAGATCGAATTCCAGTAAGCTCCGTGCGCCGACCGAATGGCGCCCATATCTTGGCTCGCTGTATGAGCCTCCGAAGCCGCTTCCTGAGCTTCGCACGGGCGTGAGCGGGAGCCTGCTGGGCGTCTGCAGCAGCAAGCTCGCGACGGAGAGAGGACCGGGCGGACTCGGCTTCTGCAAACTGGAGCTCGTCCAGCAGAGTAGAAAAGCGTGCAGGGTCCACGAAACGCACACGTCCCTCCTCAGAGACCTCCAGGATTTCTCGAGCAAATGGATAGCGAAGGAGACGTTCAGCTAACCAACGATCTTGGCGCCATACAGCTCTGGATGAGGAGCGCATAACCAACAACTTCGAAGTGGGGTTCGAGGGTTCGTCCTGGAAGAGCGCGTCCCTGGCGTACCTGGCCCCCTCCTTCAGGACGGTTTTGTACATTTCCAGGGCCAGTGGGGGTGAGAGCTCCGAGATATCAATAGCGGGCCAGGTGGCATCCACATACTTCTGGAACTGCGGGTGTTCAAACAGGTATCTGGGAATCGGCCTGTCGTCCAGGGAAGGGGGAGGTCGAGCACGCAGCGAGGCCAGGATGGGAGCGTGATCTGAGAGGCCCCGTTGTTCTAGTGATTCAGGGAGGTCCCGAACGTCCGAGGTCAGATGTAGCAGAGTAAGGATCCAGCCAGGCCAGGATATGAAGATGCGGTCGATGGCGGATGTGTGTTGGCGAGAGCCATTGTAGTGCGTATTGTCTTGCGGGTCGAGCTCGACCATCGCATTGAAAATCTGCTGCCAAGGTGAGCGGAGCAGCCGGCGGAACTCGGGCGCGGCAGGGTCTTCAGCCAGCCCACCAGGAAGGGGGTGCGCAGGCAGCGGGGCGTCACGCGGAATGTTGAAGTCGCCCGTGACCACGACCAGGTAGTGTTCCGTGTCGCGGCTCGCGATCTCGAGCTCGTGGCGGATGACGCTCAGGATGCGGCTGGTCTGGGCGGGGGTAAGCCCGAAATTGTGGATGTTGAAGTGCGAGATGAAGTGGAGGGAGCCGTTGACGGAGCCGTTGACCGAGCCGAGGCAAATCTTCGTGTGCAGGGC